GTTAAATGTTCCTGGGAAATTAGGATCAAAGTCATGCACTGGATGTGAGTGAACAAATTGAAGCACAGTCCATCCAAGAGAGAGGTGCTCCTGGTAAATGAAATACAGATCATAGACTAGAGATTCAGCTTGTGCTGGATAGAGTTAGACTTCCCATGAAGAGGCAAATTCACATTTTGGATGTAGTCTTGGAATCAACCCTGAATATGGATTTTCAAGTTTTAGCAATGAATAGGAAAATATATGCACAATTAAAGCTAATGTACAGGTGCATTTCCATGATTAAAACTAGTATATCATTCTTTGTGACATCTAATCCAGCCACCCTGACACTATCCTTATTTACATCCTATTTGGATTACTTTAAGGCCCTCTACATGCTGGTGCCTTTGAAGAATATTCTGAAAACTGAAGCTAGTTCAAAATGCTCCAGGCAGACTGTTAGCATGTAAAGCAGTCTGCTTACCATCTCTAATATTTTTTTTTAAAAAAGGCTTTGTAGTGTTTCAAAAGCCTTTAAAATCTATTTAACCAAAGAAAACAATAATGCAATGACTGTTCCTGTGTAGATCACCAGTAATTATATTTCTGCTATAGCACCCTCAATTTTCTATCTCTATCTCATAGCAGATTTTTTACTTCATCACTGATTCCTGCTGTTCAGCTAACCATTTGTAATAAGAGTTAATATTTATCAAGGATTAAAATAGGAGAACTATGTAAAATGCCCTACAAAATCACTCCCTTCTCTGTTTCCCAATACTCAGTGAAGTTCATACTTGCTTCACTATTCAACCAGTTGTGCAGGATGAACAAAGCAGCTCAGATATCCACAAAACCTATCCTGCTTCATGCTCAAAAATATATTCTTTTATAATTTGTACTAGAAAAGTATAAAATTATATTTTTATTATATTATACATAGGATCACATAACAAACATACATTTGATAATGGAATGTGTCAGGGAATTTCAGAAGTAAATCTGCTTTATTGACTACAGCAAGGACTTTGACTGTATAGATCATGAAAAGTTATGGATTGCACTAAGAGGAATGGGAGTTTCACAACATCTGATTGCTCTGATGCATAATCTATACTCAGGACAAGAGGCTTCCATCAGAACAGAATATGGAGAAACAGAAAGTTTCTGAATTGGTAAAAGGGTCAGGCAAGGCTGCATTTAATCACTCTATTTAACCTGTATGTATGTAGTTTCATGTGGTTAAAGTGGAAATTTGGTAAGATGTCATGTTTTTAAAGAAAACCTAAAAATAATTTATCTAGATCCATTTCAAAATGGCTTTAGGGCAGGATTTGGAGTTGAGACTGCCATGGTTGCTCTGACTGATGACCTCTGTCTCAGCATCGACAGGGGTAGTGTGACCCTGTTGGTGCTCTTGGACCTCTCAGCGGCCTTTGACACCATAGACCATTCCATCCTCTTTGATCGCCTGAGAGAGTTGGGAATTGGAGACACTGCTTGGCAGTGGTTCCGTTCCTTCCTCTCAGGCAGATCCCAGAGGATGAGGTTTGGGGACAGTTGCTCTTCTAAAATAGAGCTTAATTGTGGTGTCCTTCAGGGTGCCATCCTGTCCCTGATGCTATTTAACATCTATCTGAAGCCACTGGGAGAGATCATATATCTGAAGCCGCTGGGAGGCATGGGGCACGGTGTCATCAGTATGCTGATGACACCTAAATATATTTCTCCATGACCCGGTCATCAGCTGAGACCTCAGTTGGTGTCCCTCCTCTCAATGACTGTCTTAAGGAGGTAATGGACTGGATGAGGAAAAACAGATTGAGACTGAATCCAGAAAAAACAGAGGTACTAATGCTGATGGGCCCAAAACCAGGTTTGGGAATACAACTTCCAGTCCTGGATG